CTATAGTCTAGTCTATAGTCTAGTCTATAGTCTAGTCTATAGTCTAGTCTATAGTCTAGTCTATAGTCTAGTCTATAGTCTAGTCTATAGTCTAGTCTATAGTCTAGTCTATAGTCTAGTCTATAGTCTAGTCTATAGTCTAGTCTATAGTCTAGTCTATAGTCTAGTCTATAGTCTAGTCTATAGTCTAGTCTATAGTCTAGTCTATAGTCTAGTCTAAGTCTACGTCTATAGTCTAGTCCTATAAGTCTAGTCTATAGTCTAGTCTATAGTCTAGTCTATAGTATAGTCTAATGTCTGTCTATAGTCTAGTCACTATAGTCTAGTCTATAGTCTAGTCTATAGTCAGTCTATAGTCTAGTCTATAGTCAGTCTATAGTCTAGTCTTAGTCTCGTCTATAGTCTGTCTATAGTCTAGTCATATCCCTAGTCTAAAGTCTAGTCCTATAGTCTAGTCTATGTCTAGTCGATAAGTCTAGTCTATAGTCCAGTCCTATAGTCTAGTCGATGTCTAGTCTAAGTCTAGTCTAGAGTACTAGTATATAGTCTATTCTAATAGTCCTAGTCTAAGTCTAGTCCCTATAGTCTAGTCCTATATCTAGTCTATATCTATAGTCTAGTTTATAGTGTTAGTCTATAGTCTAGTTGATGGTTTAGTCTATAGTCTAGTCTATGGTCTAGTCTGTAGTCTAGTCTATAGTCTAGTTCTATGGTCTACTCTATAGTCTACTCTATAGTCTAATATATGGTCTAGTCTGTAGTCTGGTCTATAGTCTAGTCTGTAGTCCAGTCTATAGTCTAGTTTATAGTCTAGTCTATAGTTTAATCTATAGTTTAATCTATAGTTTAGTCTATAGGCTAGTCTATAGTCTACTCCATATTCTATTCTGTGGACTCGTCTATAGACTAGATAGTCTAGTCTATAGTCTATTACATAGTATTCTCTATGTTATCTACAATAATTTAATCTCTAATGTGCACTTTGTCCCTTCGCCATTAAAGAGAAGGTACTTTAATGTCTACTGTAGGGTGCTCCAAAAGTAGCTTTATATCTCCTTAAATATTAGTTGTATTATTAGTTTCTCAAGATTTTGATAGTTATACATATTTTTCAAAGCTTAAACAAAAAATATTAAACATATTAACTATTGCTGTTAGGACTTGTGAAGTGGACAAGAGGGGGAGGATAAAAACAAAATGACGAAAGGGAGTCATATGCATGATTGTTTCTTTTATGCTTTTATAAAGTTTTGTTTTTGTTGCAGCCTACACCTACTTATTGCCACCAAAGTCTTATTGTTCCTGCATTCATCGGCAATAGTTTTAGTTTTTTTTTTTTTTGTTATTCATGTGTTTTTTTGTAAACTTCCCTTTCAAAGTTTATGTATGGGAAAACACATGCACCATGCTGCAACAATTGTTAAATGCAACACAAAACAAAGCTGTAATTTTAAACATCACTTGTTGTAAATGCAATAATAATATGTATGTTTGTTGCAATTGTTGTTGTAGCTGTTGTTGGCGGTGGTGTTTCTCGTTGTTGAGGCCTTAATAGAGTTATTATAATTTTAAGCGTTATGATAGTTATATGCCGCTTCTTTTAGCCGCCATCAACAACGTCATCTACAACAACTTGGCAGCAGCAAACAGACAAAAAAACAAACAACAGGCAACTACTAGCAGAAAACCACCACCACCAACAGTCAGTTTTCTTCTTTTTTTTTTTTTTTTTGAAAACAGGGGGAATTATGAACTCAGGAACAAAAAAAAAGCAGTGAATAATAGTGAATTTCTCAAACAACATGGTGGTCATGTTGTTACCACTGCTGTTGCCGTTACTAAAACTGCTGCAGCATTTACGGTTGTTGTTATTATAGCTGCTGCTGCAGCTACTCCTGCTTTAGCTATAAATGTATGAGTTTTTCCTTGTTGCTAGCAATTGCATGTAGTACTTTATTTTCAACCTAACTCTTCATCATTGTTAGGTTTATCATTTAGTTTGCTCTGCTCTTACTGCTGTGTTGTGTACCTTTCAACTATGATGGGATTTTTATAGTTGACTCCAGTTAGGGGTCTATTTAAATTGCTACCTTGAATCTCACTTTTTTTTTTTTTGCTATAACCATTTTCCTTTTGTGTTCTTTTAATTTTTTTTCTCAATATTTTGCTTTCGAAAGTGCACCTTACTTGTAGAGACTAGACTCAACAATTTTGCTTTATATTGCTGTCTAGTGCAATGTATAATTTTACTTTCAATTTGTTGTTTGTATGAAAAAATAATATTTTCTATAAAATATTTGTTTACATTTTTTTTTTTTTTTGATTTTTCTTTAAACCTCTTGTCCCTAAAGGAACAACGTTTTTAAGTCGTTTTGTTTTTTTTTGGAGGAAAATAACATAAAAATTGTTAAATCTTAATATGGAAAACGTGAACTTTTGATTATATTTTGGGTAAAAAAAAACATATTTGATATTTGTTAAAATATTAAAGTAGAGACAGTAAGATAAACTGGCTTTGCACTACTGTTTAAAATTTAGCCACAGGAAGAGAAAATATTTAGCGATACATAGTCTTGACTATAGACGGATCTATAAACTGTTCAGACCATCGCATCATCTATTTTACAGTCAATTTACTAACTCATATTATAGATTGTTATTCCAAACTATATTTTGATATATGTATAGTACCGACAATACACCAAACTGTAGTCCAGACTTTAGATTGATCTATAGACAAGATTATAGGCTGATCTATAGTCCAGACTTTAGATTGATCAATATTCCACTCTATAGACTAATCTATAGTCTATACTATAGACTGATATATAGCCCAGACTATTTACTAATCTATACTCTAGACTGATCTATAGTCCAGACTATCGGCAGATCTATATCCAGACTGTATACTGATCTATATTCCAGTTTATAGGCTGCTCTATAGTCCAGAATATAGACTGATCTATACTCCAGACTATAGAGTGATCTATTTTCCAGTCTGTAGACTGATTTATAGTCCAGACTCTACACAGTCTAGAAAATAAACTGAATTCTAGTGCAGCCTATATTACAGATATGTACAGATCTACAGTTCAGATTATAAATTGATATATAGAACAGATAATAGATTTATAGGCCAAACTATAGACAGATTTATAGGCCAGACTATAGATTTATAGTCCAAATTGTAGACTGATCTATAGTCCAGATTATAGACCGATCTATAGTCTAGAGTATAGAACGATCTATATTCCATACTATAGACTGATCTATAGTCCAGAATATAGACTGATCCATAGTCCAGACTTAAGATTTATCTATAATCCAGATTATAGACTGATCTATAGTCAAGACTATAGACTCATCTATACTACAGACTATAGACTGATCTATAGTCCAGATTATAGGCTGCCCTATACTGCAGAATATAGACTGACCTTTATTCTAGCCCATAGACTGATTTATAGTTCTGACCATAGATTGACTTATAGTCCAGAATAAAAACTGATCTATAGTCTATACTAAAGACGGATCTATTGTCTAGACTATAGAATGATCCATAGTCCAGACTATAGACTGATCTATAGTCCAAAATATAGACTGATCTACAGTCCAAAATATATACTGATCTATAGTCCAGACTATAGACTGGTCTAGAGTATAGACTATAGAATGATCTATAGTCCAGACTATAGACTGATCTATAGTCCAGACTATGGACTGATCTATAGTCTAGACTATAGACTGATCTATAGTCCAGACAATAGACTGATCTATAGTCCAGATTACAGGGTGCTCTATGTTAAAGAATATAGACTAACCTATAGTCTAGACTTTAGACTGGTCTATACTCCAGACTATAGATACATAGTTCTGACTATAGATTGACCTATAGTCCAGAATAAAAACTGATCTATAGTCTAGACTATAGACGGATCTATAGTCTAGAATAAAAACTGATCTATAGTCTAGACTAAAGACGGATCTATTGTCTAGACTATAGAATGATCCATAGTCCAGACTATAGACTGATCTATAGTCCAAAATATAGACTGATCTACAGTCCAAAATATATGCTGATCTATAGTCTAAACTATAGACTGATCTATAGTGTAGACTATAGACTGATCTATAATCCAGAATATAGACTGATCTATATTTCAGTCTATAGACTGATCTATATTTCAGTCTATAGACTGATCTAGAGTCCAGACTATAGACTGATCTAGAGTCCAGACTATAGACTGATCTATAGTCCAGACTATAGACTAATCTATAGTCCAGACTATAGGCTGATCTAGATTCCAGACTATAGGCTATAGTCCAGAATAAAAACTGATCTATAATCTAGACTATAGACGGATCTATAGTCTAGGCTATAGACGGATCTATAGTCTAGGCTATAGACTGATCCATAGTCTAGGCTATAGACTGATCTATAGTCTAGACTATAGACTGATCTATTGTCTAGACTATAGACTGATCTATAATCCAGAATATAGACTGATCTATATTTCAGTCTATAGACTGATCTAGAGTCCAGACTATAGACTGATCTATAGTCCAGACTATAGGCTGATCTAGATTCCAGACTATAGGCCGATCTAGAGTCCAGACTATAGACTGATCTATAGTCCAGAACATAGACTGATCACTAGTTCAGAGTATAGACTTATCTATAGCCCATATAATAGACTGAATTATAGTCTATATTAAATATTGATATATTGTCCTAACTATAGACGAATTTATAGTCCAGACTACCGACTGATCTATAAACCAAAATATAGACTGATTTATAGTCCATAATATAGTCCACACAAGAGACTGATCTACATATTTGTTAATGATTTTCTTTTATATACACAACAAAATTTAACTACTTCTTAAAAAATTTAAACCATTAATAAAAACTTGTATTGGTTTTGTAAAATTTACATAATTTTCTATTGAAAAACATAATTTTAATCAATTTCCTTTTTAACATTTTCTTTTTACAGCAATTTCTATATGTTGCCAACAACCCACAAACACAACAGCTTTAGTTATACAAATTAATTGTTAAAAACAAGAAAACAAAAATATAAATATTAAAAATATCTCACCCGCCCCCCGTACAAGTGTTGAGTAGAATAATAAAAAACAATGTTTCCCCGCCTACCAGGACCCATAACAGATGACATATTTCTGGGTGCCACAACCACAATAAGAACAGCATTTCCAAATTCACGCTTAGACTCGTTAACAAATCACAATCAACAGCAACTGCATCACAGCAATAGCAACAACAACAACAATCATTACGCTCAGCCAACACCAACACCTGCCAGCAATGGTCACCAGCAACAACAACAATTGCTATCACCATACGATCCAACGATATCGGCTGATTTTCTGGCCACTGCAACATTAAATGAGGCAGCCGGAGCAGCCATTGAAAGTGTAGCAAATAGTTTAGGTGTAGCGGGTGCTGGTAGCGGTAGTAATAGTATTAGCAATAGTTTTTTACCTGCCAACAATGATGATGATGACTTTTGGTTAAATGCCATCGAAGAGGACACGTTTGAGTCACCATTGGCATTTGATGCCAGCGAAAATGGTCTTTGGAATGGACATTTTGTACCACCGCCACCGAGGCCACCGTTTTTGGATGAGAGCGTGGCAGCGGATGGTCTAACAACCTGTGATCTATGTACTTGGGCATGGCAACGTAATGCCTATTCATTGGATGGTTCGATAGGTAAGTGGGAGTTGGCTTTAGAAATAAATATAAAAATTTTATTACACCGTTTCCCATAACATTTTAGAAACTTCTTTAAGTATCTTTTATAATTATTTCAAAAAATTTCCAAAGGGGAGTTTTCGAATATGTTTGGGAATTTCAATGAAATATTTTGCGAAACAATTGGAAATGGTGTAGTTTTAAAGTAAAAATGAGTTTAAGTTTATGGTGTGTTAGTTTTTCAATTGGATTTTTTATTTATTTATTAATAAAAAGTTTCACTTTTCAATTTACTTAAAAAAAATATTTTCTATTAAATTTTCAAATACAAGTTTAATGGATTCCTTTATGGCCTGTTGCTAGTGTTATACGGCCAATAGAGGCGGCTTTTTGTTTTATCGTTACTTACAATCGATCGAAAAATAATTTATCGCTACAATCACTGATGGCGATTTATCATATTTCCAGCTTTTGCTGTAGCATGTATAGAGAGTTAAAAACTAGAAATGTTTGCACAGTGGTTTACAATGAAGATATTTTTTCCATCTCCTCTATAATGACACCTTTAGATTATATTAGTAAATAGTCAAGACTAAAAAATGATCTATAATCGAGATAATAAACATTTCTATAATCGAAATCAGAAACTAATTAATAGTCGAGAACACGGACTGATCTTTAGTCCAATCTATGGACCAAGTTGTGCACAGACTATAGACAAATCTATAGTCCAGACTTTAGACTGATCTACAGTCAAGACTATGATATACTGATCTATATTCGGACAACACACTGATCTATAGTCAAGACTGATCTCTAATCCAGTCTATAGAATGATCTATAAACTGATATACAGTTCCCAATTTAGACTGATCTATAGTCCGTATTTTACGCTGATCCATAGTACTGACTTTAGACTGATCTACAGTCAAGACTATGATAGACTTGTCTATAGTCTGACAACACACTGATCTATAGTCAAGACTGATCTCTAATCCAGTCTATAGAACGATCTATAGTACAGATAATAGACTGATATACAGTTCCTAATTTAGACTGATCTATAGTCCGTATTTAACGCTGATCCATAGTACTGACTTTAGACTGATCTGCAGCCTGATCTATAGTACAGACAAAACACTGTTCTATACGCCAGACTAATAGTGATCTTATATAGTTCTCCCTAGTCATGACTGATCATTAGTCAAGATTGTTTACTGATCTATAGACAATGAATATAGACTGATCTAGTCTAGGTTGACAGTATTGAGCATAGTTTTAGTTTATAAACATTCCCTTTAAAATCTCAAATTTATACACCCAACCTTCCTAACCACTGTTCTCCCCACTAGCAGTTGTTAGTGCTAATGCTATGAAATAACTATAGTTTTTTTTTTTGCTCCAACATTTTTTAGTGCCAAACTTTTTAAAGGAAAAGGAAAAATATTCACCAAAGAACTATAAAGAATGTATGTTAAAGGCCAGTTGTTTGCCACTTTATATATGCAACTGCTGCGTTTGTTTTTCTTTGCCACAAGATTGGATTTTTTCTTCATATATGAAAGAGAAAAACGACAAAAAAACTACATTTACAGAAATAATTGAAAAATCTGTCGCTTATCTTTATAATCAATATAATAAATTGTATAGTAGGTTTGGTGGGTTTTTTCTAGAAATGAATAAACACAACTGGGGGATAACAAAAATTACACTTGAAATTAATTTCTAAGGATGGTAAGAGCGAAGGTATTTCTATAGAGTTAGAAAAGAAACTAATGATGTACTAGGGAACAAAAAGAGGAAATTAGTTTTTAACATTAAATAGGAATACTTAGCAGGGGAGTTTTTCAAAAATTAATTTAGACTGATCGCTAGTCCACCCTACAGATCGAACTATAAACCAAACTAAAGACTAAAATATATTACAGACTATGGACTGACTTGTAGGCCAGACTATCAACTGATATACCGTTAAAACTATAGATTGATCGGTAGTTCATTCTAAAGACTGATTTATAGTTCAGACTATAGACTGATATACAGTCCAGATTATTGATTAATTATATTATAGTCCTGACTACAGAGTGATCTATATTCCTGACTATTGAGTGATCCATAGTCCAGACTATAGGGTGATCTATAGTCCAGACTATAGAGTGATCTATAGTCCAGACTATAGAGTGATCTATAGTCCAGACTATAGAGTGATCTATAGTCCAGACTATAGAGTGATCTATAATCCAGACTATAGAGTGATCTATAGTCCAGACTATAGAGTGATCTATAGTCTAGACTATAGAGTGATCTATAGTCCAGACTATAGAGTGATCTATAGTCCAGACTATAGAGTGATCTATAGTCCAGACTATAGAGTGATCTATAGTCCAGACTATAGAGTGATCTATAGTCCAGACTATAGAGTGAACTATAGTCCAGACTATAGAGTGATCTATAGTTCAGAATATAGAGTGATCTATAGTTCAGAATATAGAGTGATCTATAGTTCAGAATATAGAGTGATCTATAGTCCAGACTATAGAGTGATCTATAGTCCAGACTATTGAGTGATCTATAGTCTAGACTATTGAGTGATCTATAGTCTAGACTATTGAGTGATCTATAGTCTAGACTATAGATTGATCTATAGTCTAGACAATAGAGTGATCTGTAGTCCAGTCTATAGAGTGATCTATCGTCCAGACTATAGACTGAGTCAAGACTATAGGCTGATCTATAGTCAAGACTATAGGCTGATCTATAGTCAAGACTATAGTCTGATATATAGTCAAGATCTATAGTCCAGACTATAGACTGATCTATAGTCCAGACTATAGACTGATCTATAGTCAAGACTATAGACTGATCTATAGTCCAGACTATAGACTGATCTATAGTCCAGACTATAGACTGATATATAGTCCAGACTATAGACTGATATATAGTTTAGACTATAGGCTGAGCTTTAGTCCACACTATAGACTGAACCTTAGTCCAGACTATAGACTGACCTAAAGTTTAGACTATAGGCTGAGCTTTAGTCCACACTATAGACTGAACCTTAGTCCAGACTATAGACTGACCTATAGTTCAGAATATAGACTGATCTATAGTCCAGACTATAGACTGATCTATGGTCCAGACTATAGGCTGATCTATAGTCCTGACTACAGACTGATATAAAGTCCAGACTATAGACTGATCTATAGTCCAGACTATAGACTGATCTATAGTCCAGACTATAGACTGATCTATAGTCCAGAGTAATCTACAATTCAAACTACAGACTGATCTATAGTCCAGAATATAGACTGATCTGACCTACAGTCCACACTATATTCCAGACCATAGACTGATATATAGGCCAGACTATAGACTGATATATAGTCTACACTATAATCGAATCTATTGTCCAGTAGACTAATATATAGTACAGACTGATATACAGTTTAGATTATACACTTACCTATAGTCTAGGCTATAGACTGATCTATAATCTGGAATAATCTATGTATTAATCTATAAGAATATAGGCTAATCTCTACTCCAGAATATGTACTGATCTTTTGAGTTTTCACTTAAAAATGTCGAAGTTTAGTTCCGAAATAATATTAAGCAAATAATCTGACTTTAAGAATATTCAGTTTAACTGTCATAGCTTACCACCCAGAATATAAAAAAGCTTTAAACGAGCTTTTAATTTGTTCAGCTAATTTGAATGAACTTGATCTCTTTGCAAGTCTTAATAAAAACAAAAACTTTTCTTTTCATGACTTAGTTTTATGAGATTTTCTTTAGCTCTTTTTTTGTAGGCTGGATGTATAGTGTCTTACATGTTCTGGTTATAAATACATTAATCACCACTTGTGATAATTCTCTTGTTCTCTATTGGTTTTTTTGTAGGTTAAAAACAAGACAACCAAACAACTACCTCCTCCTGCCTCATCCTTATTTAAGGCAGAAGATTTTTTGAAAAAACATTTAACTTTTTTTAATGTCCTACAGCATGTTAACATAAATTAATTTATGGTAGACATTCATTTTCAATATAAATAATTTTTTTTAGTAGAGGCAACCAATATGTAGGTTTTCTGTCTCTTTCTGTGACTGTCTGTCCTTCTTTTAACTTTAAATCAAAGTAGGCGGAAAATCTAAACAATTTTAATTTGTGCAATTTTTCTTATTACTACAATATTGGTACCACCTTTTTCCCCTTAGATTATTAAACTTAGTAAGAAACATGTTAAAACGCGTATGTTGCATGTTATATTGCCACAAAACTAAAAATGCAACAGAAAAAAAGAACATTTAAAAAGACTGTAAACCATCCAGGCATTTAGCCAGTCAGTCACTTGTACAATAAATAATTTCAATTGAAAAGTAACTTAACATTTTTTTTTTTTTTGTAAAACATAAATGTTGCAACAAGTCAAAAATGTTGCAACACTAAAGTATAAAAATAAAGGAGTTTAACAAAATGTGCATGTCTATTTGCAATTATGAAATATAAATGAATTTTACTACAACCTTATTAAAGACGTAGTTGTAAGTAGTTTTTTATATTTATTTTACGTTAATTTTTTTAAATAGACAATTGCTTAGATTACCGAAGTTAAAACTAAATACAAAAATCCAGACATTTTAAACGTTTTTTCGCACGTTTTTTTTTCAAACTGCTGCAATGCTACAAAAGAAACAAGATGTTTTAAACGGAATATTAAGACTTCCATCATTTGTTGTTGTTAAAAGATAAATTTTATAAATTTCAACTTAATTTTATACATTTTTAAACGATTTATGATTTCAATTCGTAATTGCAAACAAATTGTGTTGAATGCAGAGTATTTCATAAGTATTTGTGTAGAAATTTAAGTGGGATTTAGACATGAAATGTTAAGGTTTGTAGTAGAATTGAGTGGTTAATGAATCAATTGGAAACCATAGATCAATGTATAAAGCTGGACTATACTCAAGTCTATATGCTGCACTGGTTAAGACTACTTCGAACACTAACCAAGTCT